GACTTCGGCCCGCCACGCCGCGCCACGCCGCGCCGCGCGCCGTTCCTTTTGATTGTTTTCGCCGGGCCCCGTCCACTGTAATTTCTTTATCGCGATACCTCGGCTACCGAACGAGGAAACGCGCGAACCGAACGAAGAGGACAGCGAGGAGAGAGAGAAAGAGGGCCAGCGAGAGTGAGACGGTGGATCGTTTAATTAATATTTACTCGGTCATATTTTTCACCGGCCCGCCGGATTTTTAACATTCGAGATCGGCCCATGCGGTGCTTCGAGGATTTTTGGAAAGAGAAACTGCCCTCCGAGGAGACGCCGTAGCAAGCCGAGGCTGCTTCGGTAGTTTGGTGGCCATCGCTGACAGTCGAACAAAGGGCGGAGCTGGCTCGTTTCTGGTCCACTGCGAATTTTATTGTCCGGGGAGGTCCGCGATAATTTATTCCGCTCTGTTAATGTTCGCGTGGTTTGCTAGGTTGGAATAAGTTTTTGGAGAATTGCAGGATCACGGGATTCCGGGTCGCTGTTTCGGACGCGGTTTGACGTTTTATGGAGGTTTTATGGTTGTAATTGGGACGCACAGCCGATGGCTCGTCTATCGTAAATTAGTGGAAACAACGGACAACGGTCGGACACGAAGCACCGCGTCGAACGGGACGTTCGTCTGGCTGAAAGCTTTTCGAAAAATCGCGATTTCTAAACTCGTTCACCGATTCGTAGATTCGTTCCTTTTTTAATCACACTGCCGCGGACACGGTTCCTGTACGCGTTCCCCCGAGACTGTCGTTACGGCTTCTAGAAGGGCATTCGACCACTCGAAATTACACGTTTACCACTACCACGGATACATGTAATTATCGTCTATAACTGCGCCAGCGTAAAAATTACATTCCACTTACGCGCGGAATGTCGTTTTTGCAAATTGTCGCAGAGAAAGTTCTGAATTTCGCGCTATTTATTTTCGCTCCGTGGAAAACTTGGTACACTTTCTTTCTCGGCACTTACGATTAGGCTATCTCAATAGTAATCTTCCTCTACCCTATCGGAACACTGGGATTTTTGTATAGCATATATAACGCGAGCGAAGTCGGAAGATTTAATTTATTTTATTTTCGATACATTCAAATTATTAATAGAAGAAATAAACGTTAATGTCGCTTCAGCTTCTAATTAACGAATCTCTATCGTTTTTCTACAAAACCCAGCTAGCACCTAAATAGTATTAATCGATTAAGTGTCATACTTTCAAACTTTCACTCAAGTAGACCGCGGATTTGAATGATTTTAATCATTTGAAATAGGCACACCGACATTCTTAGTTTCTTTTAATCTCTTCACTGTCTTCGATATACAGTAATGTCTCTCTAATTGACGCCCAGGTTGCGCACAAAAATGGGTAATTTGGGAGGAGGAGGTACGATTATTCGAGTCTTGCGGTTTATAGTTATAAATTGTTCACAATTAATCTCGAATAATAAGCTCGAATAATCGTATCTCCTCTTCCTAAATTATCCAATTTAGTAGACAATCTGAGCGTCAGTGAGGGAGACATTATTGTATTTACCATTTTTGTCATAAATGCGTAAAATTCCGCAGTCGACGCATGGGAAGAATACAGTAAATTCTCCCCAATTTCCCTTCTGTTTGTAAACAAAATTGGAAAGACCAAGCTAAAGACCCAAATTGTCCATATTTCTGTTTACAAGCTAAAATTAGGGAGAATTTACTGTACTCGCAGTGTCATTAATGGTTCCAATTAATCGCGATTCCTAAATTAAGTGCAACCAAACGCTGACCCAATTAAGCGTCTTCCCTCTACCTGTTGCCTCATTACTGCCTGGTGTCATTGATCGTTTCGCCAGCACAGACCGCGCAGTTCGTATTTAAACGAAGCTGCGCGGAACGAGTTTTGCGAAAAAATTGAAAAATAATAACTCAGTGGACACGATTCTAAATCCTCGCCGGGAGTGGATGCCACCCACACTCGGTACCACGTGACAGCGTTGAATCGCGAGTCCCGGAGAGGAGAAACGTGGCGAGGGGCGAGAGAGGAGAGGAGAGACAGCCGATACCGCGCGGCTCGGCGGCAGAGTTTCGCGTATATGCCGTCAAATGAACGAACCCGAGAGGCCGCTGCAATTTTTCACGTTCGCCGGAATTGAATTCCATATTCCACGGTGTCCTTGGCCGGGCCGAGGCGTTGGCTACGAGCCACGTACGAGTCCGTACAAGTTTCGCCGTGGAAGCCCCTCATCGACGCGAAACGCGACCGATCGGGGACCGGTCGTTGGCCAAAGCAACCAGAAAATTGCAAGCTAATACGAAAATTCTCCAGCTGGACGAAATCGAAAACGTCCGGGGAAACGTAATACAACGGAGCCTCCTTCCCTTTCGAGCGACGCGGAAACGAAGGCGTTCGGATGATAATAATAATAGTAATAATAATAGAATATAGATATAGAATATGAGTGCAGAACATAATTATAAAATATAAATATATAGAATATAAGTATAAATTTTGTCAGAAAGAAAAGAAAATAAAGACAAATTGTCCAAGTTCTTTGATCGAAAATAACAATCTATGTACTTTTCATTCAATTGTCTTAACAAGTCGACAACTTCGTTTAACATTTTTACAGTTTTGTATTTTACTTTTTCAATTTTTGTACGAACGCATAAAATCTACGGCCTGTTCATTATTTCTGCTGCGATCCTCGGTTGAAATCGTACATCCGAAATAATTAACGAAATAAACAGCGGTTTTATTCGAGCTTCATCCAAATCATAATAAAACGATAAATAAAAATCGTACATCAAGTTTTGGGTAGTCGTTGCAAAGGGGAAGCTTCAATCTACAAGCTCGTGTCACATTCACTCGCAAATAAAATTTTTCAACGTTTGCACAGACGTTTCAGTTCGTCCAATCCGTATCATTTTCGGTAAAAAAGAAAAGGGTCTTCCATTTCCCGCGCACTACGTCGTACAACAAAATCTTCACGATAAAAGAATAATATACTTTGAAAGCAGATGTTTCAAGCTTTAAAATCAGTCCAAGTTCATCTCTGTACGATACCTTTTGACAGAATAGTAACAGTTTCGATGACGCCGATTTTTGAACATCGAAAGTGAGACTGGGCAAAATGAGACGAAAGACGAGTTTTAAGAACGAGAACCAAAGAGTACCGAAATAAACGGGGCTACGCGGAACTTCTTCATCCCCGAGTTCCCGATAGAGGGTTTCCAAGTTCGCGATAATTCCGTCTGGGAATAATTTACCGATCGCGTTCGCCGGGTGTGGAAAGGAATCAGAAAAAGAAGGAAGACCGGCGAACCGGCTACGATCTTTTTCTACGGGCCCGTTTCTATTCGATTTCGCCGCGGCTTGGCGTCAGAGCACGAACACACGGCTCTCCGATCTTCAGGTAATCGGTTCCAGGAAATTATTTCTAATGCTGGCCGAGGCTGCTCCGCCGTTCGCGTCGAGAATCTAGCTGACAGACAACGCGGCCCGTGATACTAATACGATCCTTCCGCGTCGAATCTCGCGGCGCTCGCTGTCGCTGATCGCTCATTACTGCCGCTAATTGCTCATGCTCGGTGCCTGGATGAGAAACCGATCGACCGATCGTAATGTAACACGCTGCCTACCGTGTCAATCACCGTCGGTGACACAATCGTCCGGCCACGGGCTGCGAACGGGCCCCGAATTTTCGAACTGTCCCAACTGCCACTTGCACTGCTCGATTTCTTTTAACTTCGAGATCGATCAAACTTACGGTTGAACCGTTGTATTCGCTTTTTACTGTTCACGATCTTCCCTTGGATTTATCTTGAATGGTTTTTTTGGTGCATCGAGGGCGTATTATGGTGTTGCGAATGTTTAAAAATTTTATATACAATTATATATACAATATAATAATATAATAATATAATAATTAATATTATAATATAATAATAATAATTATATAATAATTATATAATATATAATATTATATATAATATATAATAAGTAAGACATACGTAGGCTCATTGTTATGATACTTTTAACATTAAACATTTTTTTCTGTATTGTCTGTATAATGTGAGTAATTGTTTTCAACGTTATATCTCGTTTTATATTTTCTTTGCGGCGTTGGTTGCTTTGCTAATAAATGCGGCTAAATTATTGGTAGCTGGTCTGAGAAAATTCTATTTACAAGTGCACGAGGTTTAAAGATGTTTGTGTGATAAAGTTGTACAGGGATGGAATTCAGAGTAATTCTGAAATAGTAATGGTTTCGTGGAATTTGTGTTTACAATTTCTTTTGAATATTCTTACTAGCTCGACGATAAATATGGGATTCCAAATTCGAGTTTTATAATAGAATTTTTTCTTATAAATTTCTTATAATTCTGGTATATATTGGTTACCTAAAATTTTTTTTTTCTGTTCCAAATTGAATTCTTAAAATTCTATTTCAAATTGAATTCTTACAATTCTGTTTCAAATTAAATTCTTAAATTTCTGATCCAAACTGAATTCTTAAAATTCTGGCCCATAGTGAATTCTTAAAATTCTGGTCCAAAGTGAATTCTTAAAATTCTGGTCCAAAAAATGAATTTTTTAAATTCTGTCCCAAATTGAATTCTTAAAATTCTGTTTCAAATGAAATTCTGAAATTTCTGATCCAAACTGAATTCTTAAAATTGTGGCCCAAAATGAATTCTTAAAATTCGGTTCCCCAACATAAATTCTTGAAATTCGGTTTCAAAATAAATTCTTGAAATTTGATTCCAAATCGATTTCCTAAAATTCTGATCCAAACTGAATTCTTAAAATTCTGTTCCAAAATGAATTCTTACATTTCTGTTCCAAAATGAATTCTTAAAATTCGGCTCCAAATCGATTTCCTAAAATTCTGACCCAAACAGAATTCTTGAAATTCTGGTCGAAACTGAATTCGTAACGAACTTCGCCAAGCTACCGTTACGAATAGAATTTGATGGTGTTTTTTTTTTCATTTATAAAATAATTGAAAGAGTTTCTTTAATGCATGTGGCAACGGATGGATTGGAAAGCGATAGAAATCACTTTTCGCTTGTAGGCTCGGCGAGATGTAGTAGTAAATCTGAACGATAATTGCCGAGCGCACATATCCGCCATTACCCATAGGTAACGTTTCATTCTGAGCGGATAAATGCGCCTTTAGGCTGCAGACTGTTTTTGCTGGACGTAAATATCCGCCCGCAGTACTCCGAGGGTTAAAAGTTTCGTGTATCTGTGCATTTTCTCGCGCGGAGGCTGAGCGCAACGAATCATCCAGACACGTTTTGAACTCGTCCACTTAAGCAGAACTTTCCACTGAAAAGCTGTTCGCAATACGCGTTTCTGTATCTCAGCACGCGACTCATCTTAACAAGATACTTTCATTTCCTTCTCGCCATCCACTTTATCATTGTCCAAGTTAAGAAGAATTATTTCTATTTTTCAATTATCTATATATTCCTTTCTTGCATCAAGCTCGATCGCCTATAATAAGCACAATTTTTGTTATTCTCGGCTCTGAAAATTTATACACACCGTTTAAACATAATTGCAAATGTACATCGAGATCTGATTAGAAAGGTGGTTTAGTTTCCTAGCATAAAATATTTAATATCAGCTTAGAATGTCTGAGCTCAAACATTAATGTTTTATGATTATATCGCTTCCAATCTCAATTTTAATTATTCCTGTGTCTAATAATTCGTGGATACCGTTCAAATATAGCTGGAATTACACACCGAGGATTTACGGTTAAATATTGTTTAATTTTACACTAAAAAATATCGAAACTCGGCGTGAAACGTTCAGATTAAAATATTTACCAAGCATCGACCTCCAGCTTCCAATGACAGCATCAGAACTCCGAATGAAACAAGGCTCAAAACTTCCACAATAAAAGCTCTCCTGATTATCTCAAGGTTATGTCAAAACAAAAAAATAAAATATTGTTTAATTTTACAATAAAAAGTATCCAAACTCGGCGTAAAACGTCCAAATTAAAATATTTACCAAGCATAGAGCTCCAGCTTCCAATGACAACATCAGAACTCCGAATAAAACAAGACTCAAAACTTCCACAATAAAAGCTCTCCTGATTATCTCAAGGTTATGTCAAAACAAAAAAATAAAATATTGTTTAATTTTACAATAAAAAGTATCCAAACTCGGCGTAAAACGTCCAAATTAAAATATTTACCAAGCATAGAGCTCCAGCTTCCAATGACAACATCAGAACTCCGAATAAAACAAGACTCAAAACTTCCACAATAAAAGCTCTCCTGATTATCTCAAGGTTATGTCAAAACAAAAAAATAAAATATTGTTTAATTTTACACTAAAAAGTATCCAAACTCGGCGTGAAACGTCTAAATTAAAATATTTACCAAGCATCGACCTCCAGCTTCCAATGACAGCATCAGAACTCCGAATGAAACAAGACTCAAAGCTTCCACGACTAAAAGCTCTTCTGGTTCGTACTAAAAAATCTCATAATATCTAGGCCATCCCTCGGTTCGAACCTAAACCGTCGTCGCATCCCCAAACGGCAGATCCGAAAGCCGCGCAAGAATAAAAATAAACCTAGAAAAAAGCCCCCGCCGCGATAAAGATCTCCGGCAATCTGTCGAAATAAAAATATCAAAAAGTTGGTTGGCTGGTCTGAAAAACTTCGTGTAGTCAGTCGATCGGTGGAAGAACGAGGGGGCCAAGAAGCAGAAGAGAGGCTCAGCAAGATGAAAAGAGCGAGGGGGACACGCGAAACGAAGACTCTCCGGAGAGGCCGGGGTGGAAGAAGCCCGGGCGAGATTATTTACGACGCGGTTCACGGTTTTCTCGGATGGTTTTTCGAGGTTTCACGTTCAATTTGCGCAGAGCTAGAGGCGGAATATATAGTCTCGAGCTCTCGCGGCGCCGTGGAAAAATCGTCGGCAAGCACAGCGGTCGTTTGCTTCTTCTACCAAAGAAAGAAATCAATTCATCAACATGTTGCGCGTCGCTTTGCTTCTTGGTTTTTTTAACGGCCAAGCATGTGGGAATAAAACATGGGTAGAATAAAAAAGTAAACACATTTCTTTCCGTTTTTCTACTTTCTTCCACTTTCTTTCTTTCTACTTTCTGTAATGAGACTGTGAAGGTTATAGCACTCGGCTAATTAATTAAGAAATGTTGCAGTCATACACGATGATTGAATACAAAAAATATAAACTGCATTGGTCAGTTTGCGTATTACGTAATATTCAGCCAAGGTATGTACTTTTATTGTGTAATACGACAGTTGTCAATGTCATTGTGCCTAGTAAAAATAAATATATTATAAGATAAATATAAATTAGATCAACAGGACATGAAGTTGGTATAATAAGTCTCCGTGCACCTTTCAGAACGGAATAACTTTTTTATAATTGGGTCAAGCGATCTCAATTCTTTTCTTTTTTCTTTGAGATGTCAGAGGGTTTAGTTTACTAGAGAATTACTAAAAAAATTGTTTTCATAAATTGCAACTGGATGGGATGATAACGAAATTGTAAAATGATGATTTCTAACTATTTTATCTGAGCCTATGAAAATTGAAAATTGCGTTTCATAGATCGCAGTAACTTATACGCGTACTGAAGATTTCATTGAAATCGACAGAGAGAGAGAGAGAGAGAGAGAGAGAGAGAGAGAGAGAGAGGAAAAAAGAGAAATTGAGAGAGATTATGAGAGAAAAGAAGACAAAGATTGAGAGAGATCATGAGAGAGAGAAAGATGGAGATTGAGAGAGAATAAAAGAGGGAGAAAATGAGAGAGAAATTGAGGGAGAAATTGAGAGAGAATGAGAGAGAGAAAAGGTATGTATGAGAGAGAGAGAGAGGAAAAAGAGAGAAATTGAGGGAGACTATGAGAGAGAAAGAAAAGGAGGGATAAAATGAGAGAGACTGAGAGAGAAATTGAGAGAAAATGAGAGAGAGAGAAAGCATATGTGATAGAGAGAGGAAAAAGAGAGAAATTGAGAAAGATTATGAGAGAGAAAAAGATGGAAATTGAGAGAGAATAAAAGAGGGAGAAAATAAGAGAGATTGAGAGAGAATGGGAGAGAGAAAAAGTGAGAGAGAGAGGGAGAGAGAGAGAGAGGGAGAGAGAGAGAGAGGTGTTTGAGGCGCAACGGAGGGAAGCAGAGGACACATCGGCGAGAAAGAGAACCGGAAAGAGGCGCGAGTCTTGGAATGCCTTTTCGAGTTTCTCGCCAAGTGGCCATCAGTTCGGAGCGCCGGTCATCCGAGCCAGCCGGAGTCAAACGAAATCACACGGATTTACATATTATGATTTACATCCTTGTCCTCTCTGCTCCCTCCCTTTCCTTCCTCCGCCCTGCCTCCCCGCGTCTCCCCGTTTGTCTCCAGTTCTCTCTCTCTCTCTCTCTCTCTCTCTCTCTATCTCTCTCTCTCGCTCGCTCTCTCGTTCGTTCGCCCGTTCCTCGGCGGCCTGTTCGGAGACGGCCCTCGGCGTCTCCCGAGAGCCGAGGAGAGCAAGCTCTTCCCTTTTGTCTCTCCGGCCTGTCTCTCTTCGGTTTACGCTTTTGAAAAATTTTTCTCTCGCGTGCACTGCCCCGGCCCGCGAGAAACATACTCTCCGCCCGGTCGGCCACGATGCTGACGGACTGCGGCCGTGTTCGTGCAAACTTCACCGGCTGCCAAAGGACGACGCCGCGTAGGAAAGCCAATTAAACGGAATTTTAGTCGGATGATCGAACACCGAGCGACCGTGTACGGTCGCTCGGTGCCAGTTTCGTTCATGGCGAACCGAACTTCGTTGGCATCGCGTTCCTGCGAGTTTCGTTTAACTGCTATGCGGATCTCGGGGATCTGGTTTTGCGCATGACTCCGCGCCGGAGACTGTAGAGATAAGGATAAGACGGGTTGCAACGGATTTTTTAAGTAGCAATGTCCTTTTCGAGCGGCTACGGATGAAACAGGAGCCTCTCTTGGCCGTCTTGATGCGTCAAAGATTTTTATCCGGCGTGATCGGCTAACCCCTCGCCGTACTTCGACGTTAAACCTACCGATATTTCACGTTTCTCGTTTTAACCCTAGAAAGATAACCATATGACAACGTACGTAAAAGATAACCATACGCTTCAGAGGCGCATGCTTTTCTAAGGCGTCAATTTTATACTAACAATGGATATTTATTTAAGTTAATCTAGTCATTTTAAAGGTTTGGCATTATTGTAAAAATAAAATGCATTTATATTATATTTTTTTATATTTTAAGTAATTTTAAACTTAAATCACTAGACCTCTATGAAAAATTAGATAGCAATATGTTTATTTCGCAGGCAGCCTCTGCGACGTAGGTTATCTTTCTCGGGTTAAAATGGAGACTCTTTCCTAGAGGACGATTGTAGAAATTTTATAATCCGAACAAAAATTAAGATCAATATGGCGCAAGGTCTAAATAAATACGATGGATTCGGTGTTTGAGTTGTAATGGAGTTTGAATAAGTTTCTGATCTTTTCGCATCGATATTGAAGCATTTAAATAATTAAATTTAATTAATTCTGATAGTGTAGAAGATGATACGCAAAGGAGTAAATACTTTTATGAAAGAAAATCTGAATGGTGTCTTGACCGAGCATCTGAAATTGATAAAGAAAATATACAATATTTGTATACACCTCGTGTGAAAACTTTCCAAAAATATATCGATCCTTTGTGGTCGTATGTCCGACTCGTCATCGATGTTCTCATCGATATTTACTTATACTTTGCTAATTATATGCGCAAATACTACCACAAAATCGCATGGTACTAGAAAGCTCAAATTTTTTAACTTTCTTATCCGAGCCTATACCGGAATTTAAAAAATGCCTCTCGTAGATCGCGGTAACTTACACGCATGCTGAAAATTGTATCGAAGTCAGTTGACATAGTTATAAGTTACGACAAATCAAAGATTACAGAAATCTGCAGTTTTTTAAATATTTCAACTTCTGTAACTCGACACTGGATTAACCTATTTCGATCATACATTAACCTATTTCGAGATCTACGGAAAGCATTTTTTAAATTTTTGTCACAGGCTCGGATAAAAAAGTTAAGAAACGAGAGTTTCTTATTATTTTTGTCATCCCAAGTAATAGCGAAATTAAAAAGAAAGACATTCTAATTATTATCTAGTAAACTAGTCCCTCTATCATCTAAAAAAAAATCAAATAACTAGGTAGTGTTTCAAAAAAGTTATTACGTTTTAGAAGATGTACGAACACTTTTGTCTGCCGCTGTACATTACGTCGATTGCGCGGGACCTTTAAGGTCGATAATAAAAAGGTATAATTAGCATAAACATCGAAAGACATTTTATTTATTGTCTAGTACACTAGTCCCTCCATCATCTAAAAAAAATTCAAATCACTCGGTAGTGTTTTAAAAAAGTTATTACGTTTTAGAAGGTGTACGAACACTTTTGTTGCCCGCTGTACATTACGTCGATTGCGCGGGACCTTTAAAGTCGATAATAAAAATGTACAATTAGCATAAACCATCGAGTCCATCGTACAGCTGTTCGAAAGCAGTGCCATTACCTCGTAATAGAAAGAACTCCGCGTTCGCTGGAACGTTCCTCTGTCAGGATAATGTGCACGAGTTCCCTGACGGTCCGTTGACGCGGTAATGTTCCCGCGCAGTAGCATAATGCAGTCGTGCACGGACCACGCAAAATGAATCGGTAGCCGGGGATCAAATGATAGTTTTTAACGAACTTTCACCGGGTTCGTTCGATCGTTTTACAAATTGCTTCCTCCCGTGTCCGACATTGGCCAACTGTTTTCCTGAACGGTAATTCGGTCGCGGAAATTTTATACGGCGTCGACGTTAGTTAATTGAGTCGTAAAAGATAGCGTTCTTCTTCTTTCTTTTTTTACGCCCGAGCCCAGCCGGCGCGTCTCGTTCGTTCTCTTTCCTGGCTGGAGCGAGATTAGGATCGGATCGATGCCCCTGTACCTAACACGGTGTTTCCGGAGCATCCCGTGTCGAGGGCATTTTGTCGAGGTTATGTCGAGGTTCCCGGGCCATCCTAATGACAACGCATAGTTCAGAAATTGTTCCTTCGCAG